GAAATGTTTAAACAGTATGAATTGTGGAGTACAAATTCCCAGTTCAATTCTCATGCTGGAGGAGGGCTCCAAATCTGTTTAATTTTTATTTTTCTGGCATATATAAACTGCTGCTAGCTGGCTTGGTAAGAGGCTCAATAGAAAAATGATGTATCAATGTGGAACTTGCTATAAACAAGCAGTATTACATATTTTTAAGGGGCTTATGCCTTCTTCTGAATTGAAATGTTGCACACAGTGTCAGCATCCCAACTAAAATTCTAAGACTTGTCCTCCCAGTCTGTGCAGGAAAATGTTATCTGCCTTAGGGGTGCATGAATCAGCAAAGTTCTTTAAATTCTTTCTTGAAGTTCATTCCAACTCAATTCTGAATCAGACTGCAAACTTTGGAGGTGGGGAGGGCAGATCTTTTCACATGAAAATTTGTGCTTATTTTCATGCATATTTTCCTGATATTTTTCATGCATTTTTTCTTATTTGGTCTATGAATCACATTACAAGCTTAGAACTGCACAGACTTTGGTCTGTAGACAAACAGAAAAAAATCCTAATTTAAAAATGAACTGAAGCAAATGTCTCATATATCCCTGATCCACCTGGAACACAACTATACGTCTGCAATGTTTTGCCTGGAAAGCGATTAGTTACATCTAGAGATGTGTGAGGAATATCTTTTGGGGGTGGCGACATGTCAGATTCCCCGGACTTGGCTCCCCAGATTCCAGCTCTCTTTCTTGTGACATGAGTCCAACTTTCAGGCAAATGTGCTGGACATTCACATGGCACTCACCGGGAATCAAGCACAGGTGTTGTCCCTCTTCCACACACATGTCTTGCAGCCTTTGTTTGTGCTGCAGGAGAAAGTTGCTGGTTGTACAACCAGACCTCCACAAGAATTTGTGGACTTTCTCTTGGCTTGGCTTGTTTTCTAAGACAGGGCTGAGTATGAACGGAAAACCCTGGAGTGAAGAGAGATGGATTCCAGAGAGCTAAGTTGCAACCCTAGCTACATTGCATTAGTTACCCTTAGACCGGAATGTTAGAAAGTGGCCATAATATAGAAGGAAAATAGATCAGGAAAACTGAATGCTAATCTAAGAAGTATACAGTAACACATTCTAATGGCATTAACTTGATTCAAGTATATCAAGAAACCTGGCAATACATCAGTGTTTTTTCATGAATTCAGATATATGTTTTATCACAGTAATTCTGAGTAACTTCCTGATGTGAACCCCTGGTACAGAGCATTCTTTTACCTGAGCTTGCAATTCCAGAATGATTCTGGAACATAAGGGATACAATCATTTTTAAGAAGGTTAGAATTCCACTAGTGAAACAATATACTTTAAAATGGTGGATTCTTACCTTTCATACATAAATTAGAGACAACACTTACACAGTGAGACTTACGAGTAGTTTGAGCCTTGTATGTACCATCTCTCTCTGTGCAAAGAACTTTTAATGTCCACTGCTTATATTTATTAATTATATTTATATCCCACCTTTTCTCTTACAAGGAACTCAAGGTGGCTTACATAATTTGCCACCTCCTCTCAATAATATACTCACAACAACAGTCCTGTGAGGTAGGTTGGGCTGAGAGTTTGTGATTGGCCCAAAGTCACCCACAGGGCTACATGGCTGAGTAGGGACTAGAACCCAGATTGCCTGAGTTCCAGACCCACACGCTTAACCACTGCACTACAGTGGCACCGTACAATGCCCCTTTCAACATTCAAAGCAATATTTTAATGTTATGTAATTCATTTCAATGGTTTCTTGAGATTTATAAGCAAAATGTCATTCAAGAAAACATAAGATACCCTATAAAGCCAATGGAGCTGAAGCTAGGTCGGTCATTTCAGACAAAGGCAGCCTCAGAAGGTTTCATATCTACCAACTGTGAGCAAAATTTGTTCTTTGGCTTGATCAGTTTCGTTTGCAACTCAAACGCTCAGGTAGCATGAAGTCCAGATGGCAATAAATCCACCAGATGTTTGTATTCTCAGGAGAGGTCTTTCAGTGCTGTTCTGCATATTAACTGCTAGCATAAAATAAAAATCACTAGACAGAGCACGTGACAGTTGCTTTTCAAGTTTGAGCTGCCTTAAATAGCCTGTCGGTGGGCTAACGCAGCTTGCATCTCTGCATGGAAAACACGGATTGCAAAAGAACCCAGACCTAGGGCCCTCATTTTCCCACAAGTAACCCCACCACTGATCTCAGAACTGCAACAGCAATGACTGAGAAGAGTAGTTTTTAATTCTCTCCTGGGATGCTTTGGGGACCTTCTGCGAGTGCTTCACTCTTCATTGTTATCGGCCTAGCTGCCATTACAAATTTCTCCTACGACATGATGCTTCGGGGAGGTCTGGACACATCCTAAGCCTGCCTTGGAGTTCTAATTGAACTGGGAAGCCATCCGAGAATATCTCCCAGGGAACAGGAAAGCAGATCCCACCCATGAAACCCAAGTAGCAGACATTATCCTTCGATAAGACAGATACAGATTCTCCCTTAACATGCAGCTGGCCCTACCCCTGAAGTCACATGCCTTCCCACAACACAACTCCGAGCATGCACATGTTAAGTATGGAAAAGTCTATGCAAAGGTACATGAATTTCTGGGAACTTGAACCCAACAGTATTAAGGTTCCAGCTCCAAGAGAAGCATGTAGAGATCCATGTGTGTACACTCTCCTCACGCACATCCATGGCTAACACATGGACATGGGCAAGGGCTGGGGAAGCTATGTGATTTCAGGGTCGAGGCCAGAAATGCAGCCATTTCCTGGTAATTATGTGAGAGCCCTTCTCACATTTAAGGAGCAATCCTGAACATATTTAGACAGAAAAAAGGCCTACAACTTCCAGCTGAAGCATGCTGGGATTTGTAGGGCTTCTTTCAGTCTAAACATGCATAGAACTGCAGTCTTAACGTGTGAAGAGAGTTGGAGAAAAAGTCTAACAGACAAGAGCAACAAGAACCAGTCAAGAACCATGCTGTTAATAACATGAGCCAAGCCTACACAAAATATACCAGGCAATGTAGACTTGGCCTTAGAGAGGTTGCTGGTCCCAGGTTTGGGGAAAGGAAAAAGGAGGTAAACAAACATTTGTGTTAAACTCACCACATGTTTTAATTGAGCAAAACTCCCAGCGGGTGTTTGGGTCAAGAGTATAACACCATGGCCTCGGCTTACCATCCGGATTGCGGCAGTAATTATCATCAAAGCCTTTGTCAGGATATCTGCAAAGCACAACAACAAGTCAAGCAAGTCAGCCTGGCAATGCTAGGCAGGCATGCGCGTGTGTACACATGCACACACACTCTCACACACAGGACAGTCCAAATGACCTCCAGTTTAGATACGAGTCATATTCCTCGTAACTGGCTTGGAGCCCAAACAAGTGAAGCACAGAATGCCGAAGGATGTGGGAGCAGTAGCAATGCACTCAGCAGCAGTAATATCTGGAAGAGAACTATTTTGATACGATGCAGGACATCAAATAGGGTCATTCTGCTAATTGGGCAACCTCCCATTAGTGTTGAGTCTGACACAATAGCCTTACTTTGCAATCTTCAGATGGCCCAATTAAGCGTGGACAATATAAACACTTCCTGGCATGGCAGACTCATTAAGCAAATGGGTTCTACAGTTCAACAACCCTGGGTTCAAACTGGAAGCTATTTTCAATAAACTCTAAGCTAATGATAGTTCTATTTTTAGAAACAGCTTATTTAGAGACCGTGCCCTCATTTCCAGCATTTCCAAGGAAAAAAAGACAAAAAGAAACTTAATATTCCTTGCCCTCCTTTATCTTGGCAGGTTTTTTCCCCCTTTTAATTATTCCCATACCCTTTTCCTGATACTACTGAAGGAAGTAAAGGAAAATGTTATGAGACAATATTGGACTTCTTGACTGAATAGCATTTCATTATTCAATTAGAACTGTTAGTTTGTTTTACATTTATTATACATGGTATGTCTGCAGGTGAATGATAGATTGTTTTAGGGGAATGCAGATGGTAACTTCCTTAGAACCTGAGGCTTTATACAACTGCTAACAGATGTAGTCCTCATGAGCAGATGAAAGCATGATTTACAATTGCCTGCTGAAGAAGTTTCTTTTACTCTCAAGAGTATTATTTTTAAAATTCTGATCCCATAACTTGATCTCACACTGTGAAATTCTCACACACTGAGAATTAAAACTACCCATTTTCTTTTCTTATAGAAGCCTTCCCTTACAGCAACAGTTGACCATGCAGCCTAGGGAGATGGGAGTTGAAGTCCAATTTAACTGGAGGGTACAAGTTTGGGGAATGCTGCCTTACAGTGAGGTTTGCAAAGCCAAGTCAGTGCTTCTCATAACAAACCCAGAAGGTTTTGCTACAAAATTTTCCATCATCAGAAGTCACTGAGCTTAGACTATTTTTTGCAACTTCAGTGAAGCTGATCTGTCAGTAACTGGGCAATTTTAAGATGTCTGTATCTTTCCAAAGGTGGTCCTTTAGCAATCCTAGGAAATGATGCTGTGAAGTGCAAGCATTCTCCACTTCTCCCAGGCCAGTTTGTTCACAGTTAACAACTGTATCTAATTTGAGTTGGAAGTTTCACTCTCAGTGAAAGCTATTCCCACTTGAGTATATATATGATCACAGGAGGTCTTATTAAATAGCCATGGAAAGGAGGAAAACCTCCTAAGAAAAGCAACGTCTTATGCAGTACTGAAGATCAGTATAAGTCAAATATTCAGGAATGTTAGCACCCGATTTCTCTGAAGGATGCTGGATACAATGCTACATTTTACTCTTCCAGGGAAGGTGTTAGAATTTTTCCAAATGAACAGTTCTTAGCATTGCTGTTCCAATGACATTTTGTCTTATCCCCTTAAACATTTTTTCTTCTGGTAAGAAGGAGAGAGGGAAGTGGTAGGTAAACACTGGAGGTTACAATTAGAAGGTGACTTTGTGTGGGCTTCTTTAATATTCCATAAAAGGAAAGAACCTCAGACTTCATCACCCAGTATTAACACTGAGTGGCCCATCTCACTTAATTAGTCAAGAGGGGCAATTACACTGCCCTTGATTACATAACTTGTCATGTACTCTTAATCATTTAAAGTGATACTTATTGCTGCCCACTTTTAGATTTAAGCATATGGTTCAGTACTTTTATAAGTTTTTTCGGCATACCCTGATAAACCGTTTAGCAAGGAATTACAATTAACGGGCAACAAGAGTGATGTGCCACCTAAATGTCCCACCTCTTCAATCTCAGGTACTTCCCTCCTACCTTAGTGGCTGTTAGAGACAAGTTAGAGATCCAGGATTTTGATCTGTGTGTGCTCCCTTGGCTGTAAGCCCAACTGAACTCAGTGGGATTCAGCCTCTGAGTAAACACTCACTGGACCTGGTTGTAAAGGGGACAACAGGTCACAGGGAGAGAAAAGGCAAGAATAGAATTCACCTTCAGCATAGAAGATTGTTTAAGCTGGCAGCTTTAAAAAAAGAAAAGCTAATTTTACTTTTGAGTCCCTCCTTTTCTGTGGGTCTCCATGCCTGCTTCCCCCATGCACTTGGGGGCAGGGGTGCAAATTACACGACTTTGTGTTAAAATTGAATCGATTTCATCTTCTCCATTGATTCCCATTAAACTTGGATTCCAGGCAGTTGTGATTAACAGTCAGGAGAACGGCTCTCCCCAGGCCTTAACACTGCTTTGATTTCAGGCCTTTCATTTTTAATGTACAGCTTAAATTGTTATTTAGGTGGCCATTGTAATAACTTAGGAAGTGTAATTGACACTTTTTTAGTGACTAAAATTTAAAACACACATAACTAATTGAGGCCAGGCGGCACATCCCATGCTCTGGCCCACCAAGGAAAACATTTAAAGCCAAATGTTCTATAATCTATATGGATAATGTTCTTTTAAAAATAGAGCATATGTTTTTGTTTACCTACCCCGGAGATGTCATTTCAAAGAGGAGAAGAAATGCTGGCAATGGTTAATCATAGATTGTTCTGAGCAAGTATTTAGTGAAGTCTCTGGTACTGTGATTTAATCTGTGCTAAGAAACCCTTTTCTAACAGCTTCATGTAATGCCACCTTTTCACTGCTCTTCAGACATGCAAAAGGACAAATCAGTCAGTATGTCCTATTCTAAACCCTGACAACGGCTCAGCAAGATTTAAGACAGGGCTGTTGCTTCTGGGTAGGTGGAGAGAAAAGGCAAAGATACACACGAGTACAAGAGTATACTACAACTTAAGAACTTTCACTCAGGAAGTGCCACTCTCACATTATGTAAAGAAAGTGGCTGAAGGAAAGACCTCACTGCATCATGCAGGTCTTTTGCTGTTTCTAACATGCATACAGCATATTCTGCAGTACAATTTACATGTAAGTTGCAGTGGCTTGGAGCTACAAGACAAAAAAAGACTGTGATACTGCTGTACATGTCTCCCCATGCACATCTGCACCAGGAGTTTGGCTGGGGATGCAGCGGTATTATTAATAAGCAATGGCACCGGTGTTTCTACAGCTAAATCTACGTGCTGATTGGCAGTTAGTCAGTAGGATTATGCTAGATTCTTCAGCTGAATTGTATTACTTGCAGAATGTAATGGTTTTCTGTAAGTTGCCCTGAGACTTTTAATGCTTACTTGTGGCTTCCTTTATGGAACTGAACCATCTCATACTTGGTTTTCCCTTCAATTTCTATCTTCAACTTTCCCTAGCATTATTGTCTTCTCCAGAGAGTCTTGCCTTCTCATGATATGCCCAAAGTACAACAGCCTCTGTTAAATCATTTTGGTTTCTAGGGAAAGTTCTGGCTTGATTTGATCTAGCACCATCCACTCCGCATGGGTGAGAAAACTAGAGAGTGACTGGGAAAAGAACTGTGTGGATGGTCTCCAGTAAACATTTGTACACTCAATAACCTTTTCTAGTTTATTAATTACTGTCCTTCTAAGTCTCAATCTTGGCTGCAGTCTCCCTTGCAATTGATGATTCAGACAAAGTATACAAAATCTTTCACAATTTCCATTTTGTTCACAATTTCCAGTTGTGTCATTATTTAAATTGTGACACAATTTAACGTTGTGTCATTCTTCTGTCGTCATGATTATTCTTTTGTTAGTGTTCAGCTGCAGTCCTCCTTTTGTACTTTCTTCTTTCACTTTCATCAGGAGCTTTTTCAATTCATTGCAGTTTTCTGCCAGTAAGGTGGTATCATCTGCATATCTTAAATTGTTCTTTCACCAAAGTTCACAACTTCTTCCTCTGACTGTAATCCATCGTTCCTTATGATATGTTCTACATCCAGACGGAACAAGTTGGGAGATAAAATACCCCCTTGTCTGATTCCTTTGCCCATAGAAATCTATTCTGTTTCTAGATATTCTGCCCTAGCAGTAGTTTTTTGTCCACAATACAGACAGGCAAGCGCTGAGCCTTCAGAACCATCCATAGCTTCTTCTGTTCCACACAGTCAAAGATTTTGCTGTAGGCTATAAAACATAGGCTGATACTCTTCTGAAGTTGTTTGGTGCCCTCCAGTAGCCAACATAAATTTGCAATGTGATCTCAAGTGCCTCTTCTTTATAGGATCCAGCATGAATGTCAGTCATTAGCCGCTCCATTCAAGGAAAAATTCCTTGTTGCAACCCTTGGGCATCACCCTGCTTGCATGGGAAATAAGTGTCATAATCCTATAGCTGTGGCACTCCTTAGCATCTCCTTTCTTGGGGACTGGCATGCATACCGAATGGTTCCAGTCTGTGGGCCACTGTTTGGTTTTCTCTGTTTGTTGGCAAGTTCTTGTTATGATTCGGAATGATTCAGTCAGTGCCAGCTGCCCATGCAGAAGGGGTGTGATAGCCCCTTTCTGGGCACAGTGCTGCTAGCTCCTGCCTGGATCTCAACTGTAACTACTGCTTTCTTCAATGAATACTACAAGAAAGCCAAGCTGGACCAGACCTGAGGACTATCTAGCCCAGGATTCCATCCACACAGTGGCCAAACAGTTCGGGGAACTCACAAGTAGGGCGTGAGAGCACCTCACAGACGCACATCCATCCCTTAGTGAAAGAGACTGTTCAGCTAGTTGTTCTGGGTTAGATTTTTCTCATCTTGAAATGGAACTGATAAGCAGTGGGAAGCATGAGTGAAGCTGAAGGTGCTCCAGTTACCTCAGCAAAAAAAATAAATCAGGTGAGATAAATCAGCTCTCTTTGTTTATATATCCTAAAGCCTGTGTTTTTTCAGGTGTAGTCTTTTTTACACACACACACACACACACACACACACACACACATCATAAGGAAACATATGCTATATTTTTATAAATATTCCACTAAAATAATTCCTTATAAGACTTTGAATATGTTTGAATATAACATTTTAACTATATTTTGTGGTTAATTTAATTTACCCCTAAACTTGGATTACAGTTCAAATCTTTGCTATAGGGATATATTTATGCTGCACATAAAATTGAAGATGATTACATTTTTATGAAATGTGAGGTATTTTGTTTGCTTATTGCATTAGAATGTTTGTTGGGCAGTAAAACTGAGTCATACAATCATGTCAAATCTGATAGCATTATTTACAGCAGTGGAAAATTTCCAGTTGCATTTTTTCCAGAAAACCCACATTACTGAGGATAGAACAGAACATTATCCCAGCTTAGGTCTGCCCAGTTACCTGGTCCCTTCTGTAATGTGAATCACTGTAAACATATGATCCAATATTATCACAGCCCATTCCTCCCTGTCCTTCCCTACAGGAGTCAAGGATGATGCAAAGAAGGAATGAGGAAAACCTATTACATAATGGTGAGTTTTCATGTGTTTCTATTGCAGTATATCATAAGAAAGAGGATAGGTACATTTTAACTACACCTGAATAACAGTATCTCCTAATTCAGGAATTTGACATGATATAAAAATATCAAGGTATGCAAGGTCTGTAGCTCAATGCATTTGAACTGAGAATAGGACACTATCAGTATTATCTACCATATAAAATATATAGGATTTAAAGTTTATTCCAAAACGAGGAACTAACTATGGTTTGCAAAATCCAATTTATGAAGGTTCTATCAAAAATCAATGGGAGTGCTCAAGGATAAGTATATTTTCAAAAGCAAAATGTTAAGGTATTTTATGCAATACATACCCATAGAAAATTCTGTCCTAAACCATACAAAGAGCTGGCCTAGGTTGCAATTAAGTATCACATGTGCCACTCTGTACTTGGATAATTTTTGTCTTTTAAGCTACAATATTCTTGAAACTTCCTTGGCTCACTTGTTGACATTAAATACATAAATAGCTGTAAGTAACTGCCCTAAACCATGAACTCACAACAATTTAAACACTACACTTGGTCATTCACAAACACAAATACTGCTTCTGAAGAAGAGAAAGAAAAGAGCAAAGATAAACATCAGATCATTTAGCACGAACCCTGTTATGGCTTTCTTAGGCAGAAAACCAAAAATCTGAAAAGAATAAAGACCAGCAGAGATTTGTGTGAATGTTAAATTCATAAATACTGTCCATTATTTTAGTACATTTAATAACATCAGATTAGAGACTACTTTGGTTGCTTTGGTCAATGATCCATGCCAGGAAATGTGTTGGTTTTGCTGGACTTTTTCAGCAGCTTTCAGTCCCATTGACCTGTTCAGTTCCATTATCTTCTGAAGCATCAATCTAATAAGGAACTTGTCAGCACTGTTATAAGATAGCTCCAGTCCCACTCGGAGGGGTGCTCTCAGAAGCTGGTGCTGGGGCAATCTGGGCTGACATCACAGCCACTGACTTGTAGTTTCCCGCAACCTTCCGCCCTACTAACCTTCTCCACTTTTTAACATAAACATGAACCCAGTAGGAGAGACTGCCTGCAATAAAAACCAGTTTAGAACTAAAACAGCTTCTTTGGATTTGGATGGAAAGAAAAAACAGAGCTGAGAGTTATCAGCCTACAGGTTGCACTGAACTTCAAAACTGAAGTTTGGACAGCTGAAGTTTTCTTTCTAAACTGGTTTTTGGTGTTAGCAATGGACTGGATGAAGGCAAACAAACTGAAATTCAATCCTTAGAAGATGCCAGTTCTGCCTAACTTTCAAAAAACAAACCAGCAAAACTGGAAACAGGGATTCAGCCTGTGCTAGAAGGGGTTTTACTCCCCTTGGGATATATTCCCAGACTCAGCCTTGAACCTGATTGCCCTGGTTTCCACAGTGGCCTAGAAGCGTGTTCACACAGCAGAGGCTAGTATGCTCACTAAACCAGATCCTGCAGACACCTGATCTGGCCATGGCCAAGCATGCACTCATGACATTCTGTTTCTCACACATTGTGTGGAACTGCCTTCAAAACTGTTCAGAAACACACAGGAACAATGTGCCTATAGCATTTGTGTCCCCTATAATGCATGGATGAATGAAGACAAAAATATATAAGTCCATTGCTTTTAAAAGCAAAACATAAAATGATAATGAGCATTTTTACTTCTCTGGACGAAATGGGTGCCTGTGTGGTCTCTGAAGGTCCCAACGTTGACATTCCTTGCCAGTTTCTGTGTGGTCCATTGGGCCTCTATAGCCTTCCCCATTGCATGTCATGCATTCAACTGAAAATGCAGAACAATGACTGTTTCGTTGGGCTGGTGACTTAAAGCATAATATTTTATTCCAATATTGCAGTTAAAAATGCATGCAATCAAATTCCAACCCACACGATCTTCAGTATATTTAAGACCAGAGTGGCTCCCGAATTTTCTCTAACTTCTTTTTGCCAAATAGTAAGGGGTTCTACATATTCTAAGCTGTCACAAAGTATGGATTTCACTTTATGCAACGCCTGAAGCAAAAATGTGATTTTTTTCTGATGATCAACAGAATCAGAGCTTCACTATTTATCTATCTATCCTATAGATAATCCTATACCACATAATATTTTCAAAAAATCTCAAGTGGTGAATGGTACGGTGTAACTTAGTGTCCTGCAATAGCAGGGAGTTGGACCTGATGGCCTTCTGGCCCCTTCCAACCCTACTATTCTATGGTTCTACAAAGACACTTTTGCTCAATGGACAGAAGGATCCCAATTACTTTCTGCAGCAATATTCATGCTAGGGGTACATCAGAGCAGTCCTGAAGTATTGTTTCCTCTCTAAAACCAGCATAACTATCAATATAGATATGAAGCTAGCTTTGGAAATGAACACTAAACTTTAAATTCCAAGCATTCAATTTCTTTAATGTTATTTCTGCTTGACAAGGTCAGTATATTCATTGACAGTTCTTGTCCTTCTTTAGCTTCCAGAAGCAACAATGGGATAAAAATTAAAAGGAAGAGATGTAGGCAGAAGCAGAAGCATTAATTACATGGCATGATGAGAGTAAAAGCGACATGATGTCAGAGAAGCATTTGACCGAAAACAGAGGAGCACTGGATTTTGCTAATTTTGTCTTACTGCTGTCTAATATTTCAGTCAATTGGGTTCATTTCCATATAAGATTGAAATCAACTAAGAATCCTTAATGTTACCTTCTGAACAAAGTGGAATGTCACAGACTTCGTGACGTATCATTGGATTGCTGGTAAAGCACCAGGGCCCACCTTCTTCTCCTCGCGGGTTCCGGCAGTAGTTTTCTCGAAGATCTTTACCTCGATAGCTCGAAGGCAAAAAGCTAGTTTTAAAATGATAATCATTACAGTATAAGACCATGCAAACATTGTTGTGAACCTCTGCATCTTTGTGAATAATATACCTGACTTTTTCTTCAAGCTTATTTTATCTTATTATCATTATATTAACAGCCTATCTATTTCCATAAATGAGACAAAAACAGTATTCTAAAATAATGTAATAAATCAGCAAACAACAAAAATACAAAGTTAGACAAACAGGGAAAAATGCTGAATAATATCTTCATCTACAATTGAAATTAATATTCATTCACGTCCCTGCATATCTGACTTAAAGACCCTAATTCACATTACACATTGGAGCACATTTAGTAGCCTTTTTTTCCTCCTGAATTCAGGTAACAATTCCTACTACATTCCATTCATCCAGTAATTGAACAGGGTCAGATGCCCTCTCTGCAGAATAATATGCAACCTCAGTCAAATTAGCAGAATCTCCACCCTAGATTAATTGCTCTTTATTATGGTATCTGAGTGTTTTAAATTTTGTTTCTCTGTTTTAGTGGTAAACAAGGGAATAAAGAAAAAAAATCTTCCAGTGCACAGTCTATCATGAAAATTTCTTTTTATCTAGGGCTTCAATATTGAAGCTAACTCATCTGCAATTTATCTCCTTTTGTTACAGCAGATTATATGAAATACTGTATTTCACTGCTTCTTTTCCAGCTTTCTGGAACAGAGAGAAAAGGGCTTTTGCTCATCTAGTAAAGTGTTTCGTATTTTTGCTTTTTTCCCTTCCCATGCTATCATCATGTAATTCTTTCATAACCTCTTAGAAAAGGACAGCTTCAGGCAACCTTCTCTCATGGAGAATTACATCTCATGCATGTGTTAACAATGGTATGCCCTTTAGTAGAGTACTAGGGGAATGCCCTCCCCCAGCTCTTTCATCAGAAAGTCCTAAGCTTGGAAAAGATAAACGTTAAATACAAGCCAACAACATTCAATCCAGATTGCCCTAAATATGTTATAATCAATTCAGCATTGCCTACAGCACAGAAAAATTCTAATACACGGATCAGCAGAAGCAATCAACGCAACGCAAGGAACTTCCGCAGGTACCATTCTACAAGTTCGAGAAAATGAGAGCCAGTCAAGCCTAGTGGCTTGCCAAAGTGCTGCTGGGGCCCAGAGGTGAACCCTTCTTGCTGGTGGTATCTGGAAACACAAACGATGTTGGGCTCACAGTCGGGCAATGCTCACTAGCAGAAAATACTTCAGCCACCAGTGCAGCCACTGCAAATTGAATAAATGGGCTGGTTCAAAAATGTGAACCAAACATTCCGTCTGAACCTTTTTTAAAACCTCTTTTTAAAATTCTTGTTTTAAAAAAATACTAAGAAAGGGCATCCACACTAAGAGCAGCTCACCTGTAGCCCGACAAAACACTTTAAGGATATTCACAGGACAGGTACTAGCTCTAGACTTCCTTTATGTAGGATGCCAAAAAAAGAGCCTTTCAATGGAAGAACATTTTTTACAACAACCACGATTTTCTTGCAGAATTTAAAGGTATTTCCAAACAATTAGACAGTCCCTTACAAAGGCCTTTTGCTTTTCTCTGTGAGCAACATGTTAAGAAGTTTAAAAATAAACACTAACACCAACGTTTTAAATTCTTCCACCTTCCACCTAAATGTTAGGGATTACCCCTCCTGCTATATCACAGTCTACTGCATTCTGCAGGTTCCCACAAAGCTCTGTGTATCATTTGAGGGGCTTCCATATGAAAAGAGGAGACAAGGAACTCTGCCAGCCCTGTTACTCATGCCTAAATCTGGTGCCAATCTTTATGCAAGGAATTCTCGGAGAGGCACTTCAAATATCTAAATGCATACATAAATCATTCTAAGTATACATTTAAGAAAAAATGTGTGGATACAACATACACACACAACACACAAGTATACTCAGTAGGTATTCCAGACTGCCTGTTGCAACCTGCGAAATATGTGGATTTTCCATCCATCCACACAATCAATAAAAGTCCATTTGTAGGAGAGCACTGCATAAGAATGGGCGCTGTTGCTCCACCAGCCTTACCTGTGTTCATGAGGTATTGCAGAATTCCATGCCTGACACTTGATGCCAGATTTAGTCACTGATATGGTTCCCTTATAGTTTCCTCCTTTACCAACAATACAATTCCTAACATAGTCTATCGGAGAGAATCAAAAAGGAAAACAGAGAAACAGAGGAGCGTACATCTTTGTTAGTGAATAGAAATGGATAGATATCTTACGTGTAATGCACAGTATAACATTTTCATTATGGTCACACGTGACCCAAATCAAGCCATCTTGCTTTTGACAATTATTCATGGCTAATGCAATAACAAAATCCAATTGTTTGGAATCAAACTTACTCGTGTTAGAGTAGACCCAGTGAAATCAATGAGATTTATATTACTCATGCCTTACTTGGCCTATTGACTTCAGAGTCTACTCTAAGCATGACTAAGTCTGGACCAACCTGATACATACAAAATAAACAGTGCTTGGCCAAGACATGAAAAATTGTGCAGCTTATTCTGTGCATCCAGGGGGCTTTAAGCTTCTCTTTCTCAAACAGCAGTACCCACCTGCCAAATGGCAGAGGTGTCAAAAGCAATTCCAAGCCTGCAGTTCAAAGCAAACAACAACAACAAACAATTGACCATGTGCAAGTCCTTGGCCTTATCTTTATGCACTCTTTGAAGCCTTTACTGGGGTCAAAAGAAAATGTTCTGTTTAGTTTCATAAATTTTCCCTTGGTGCAGGTTTTCACTTCAACTAACAGAAGTTATTTTCCTACAGAAAGTTCTGTCAGAAACAGAGTATTTGGCCAGCATTTTGTTTGGGAGTTGTTCTTTTTAAAGCCTTAGGCTCTCAGATATAAAGGAGGCGAATCCAAATTACTAACAAGACATTATAGTTACTGAGGGCCTCAAACAGGTTCTCTTTTCTTGTTTGACAGATAAGCAACTTGCCTTTCTTTTCATAGAGGTCAAACGTGTTGTCTTGCCTGCTCCTCACACCATTTTCTTGGCTAGTGAAGGATAACCAATGGCAGCGTTTTATAGTTTTATCAAATGCAAAAGCCCTGTGCAGAAAATAGGATGAATGAGCAAGAAAACACTACAAAGATAGATGGTTACTACAATCATCATGATACATAGCATTGATCAGAAATCTGTATGGGAGAGAGAATTTCAGGCTCTTTATGGGCAGAATGTAACATCCAGCAAAGCAGTTTTATGGACCCGTCTGAACCTATTCCCCACCTTCAACCTGGAATACATCAATACAGCATTCAAACATTACTTTCCATGGTTAAGGGGGCAAAAAAGGGATAATAAATTCATGATCTCATGTAATTCAGAAATGAAATGGATCAGTTCAGGAATAGCATGGCTGTCCTTACCACTGTTATAAAACTAGAAGGGAATGGGAAGATAACTTTTGCAAAACAGATACACTTTTTAATGGAGAATGTGCAAGCATTATGAGCTGATTCAAAACTTAGCTGAGGAAAATCTTCCCAGGACTAGTAAGCTTAAGGTTCCTCCTTTTTTTTCTAGGCTGTAAAAGTAATGTTATAGAGTAAATACTCTCTGACTGAGGTCCAAATAGGGATCAAAGCATCACTTATATTTCAGGAGGAAGGAAAGTACATTGAAAGGCTTACAGCAATTTTATGAGCAGAGTTGATTTTGCTTTCCTCAAACTCTGTTTGTATGCAGACATATTTGATAAGCTTTCTTTGTGTGAAAATTTCTGGAACAAATAGGTGAAGTAAACACAACTGAAAAAATACATAAACAAAGAATTGGATATGGGCTTCACTCCAGCTAAAAACACATAGGAAGCATTCTGTCTTTCTGAGGAACCAATTTACGATTGCTGGATATCACTGGGAATTCTGAGCCTGGTTGCAGCAATAATTAAGTGGATTGCAAATAGATTTTCAGCTGTACAACAAGAGTAGACTGCGTAGGAGTAGAAAACATTACCACAAACTGGTAAAATCCTACTATTTTCACTCAGTTTTCTCCTACAAAATGACATGACCTCAGTGTGACCAATAATTTTATCTGGCTCCAGTAATGTGTGTATGTAGGAAATTAGCATCAATTGCACCATAAAAACACTTTCTCATTTCTAGCCCAAAATCTGTCAAGGCTGTAGAAAATTTGAGAATCTCAAGCTCCCCTTCATGCTAAAAGAGGGTGTTCTATGAATTCATTCATATCATTGCCTGTGGGTATTCTGTTTCCACTAAAAATCTAATGGCTCAAGCAATTTTTACTCATCACAGCCATGGAAGTACAATATTTACAAAACTAAAAGTAATGTAATAAACTCTGGCTGTGAGCATTTATATCATCATCATCATCATCATCATCACACTGCATTTTGATCTTTTTCATCTTATGGTGGCTTATCCTCACAAAAATCACCATGAAGGTCACCCAGTGAGCTTCCTGGCCAAGTGCAGACTAGAACCCAGGTCTCCCAGGTCCCTCGTCTAACCATGCCACACAGGCTTTCATTTCCAACCTTCGGGTTTCTCAAGTCTTTCTTAGTATTTAGTGGACTATTCCAGTGCCACAAAGACCACCTGTGACATCAAGGCAGCTAAATGAATGGCAGCAGAAGAAGCCATAAGCCACTTTTCCTATGCAGGTCCAGTGTGAAGTCAGAGCTTCACTGCTGAACGGCACACACAGTCGTTTTATAATCATCACCGATTTTTGTTGGGTTCGTTTCCAAGTGCAAACTACATTTTTTTCAAGTGCAAAGCACACATGTTTTTAAACCAGAGGCATAATTAGCAGACCAAACTAGAGATGAAAGTTCAGGAATCATGCTTCATGCACTTTAAATGTGATGGGACATAGAGTGGAAATGTAATCTACTATGTAAAGAGAAGAGTCTTCCTCTGAGCTAGACATCTGGTTACCTAGGAGATCACCTTTCCTACTACAGTCTTGTGCAAAAGAGCATCAGAGGAAGCCTTGCTGATCGAACCACAACAGGTAGATCCAAGCAGCAACCTGGAGGTGAGCCTCCTTTGTGATGGTGCCTACTTGTGGAACAATGTCTCCACTTATACCCAGGAAGTATCAGCTGTGCCGTGCTTTCAGCTCCAGCTAACAGCTCCTCTCCTCACCTTGGTCTTTCCCAATGGATCCTGCTGCCCCCCCTCCCTTGCTGTATTCACTTTTTAAAAAACTGCCCAAGTTCATAAAAATGCATACACAGTTCCCTGAAGGAACTTCTTTCTCGGAAACCTGCAGATCAACCCCCCTCCTCTTCCACTTGGTCCGGTTCAGTATTTTCCAAGTAGGTGGCCAATGGCACCTATCAAATAGATGTTCTACCCAACACTTTTAAGATACCTTGTTATATGCCAACATCTGAAAGTTCATTTTTATACTATTTGTATAGCCTTCCTCCCAAGCAATTTAAACCAGGGCCATTGTACAGTAAAGTCATTAAAATATCATAGGCGCAAGCCTGACAAAAACATGTTATTGGATTGATTTGGAGGTTATTCATATCCCTTACCAATCCCTAGGGCTGCCTTCAGAAAAATCAGTAGCAACATGTGTGTTCATGAAATATCTCAACTTCTCTAAGGGAGAAGAATAATATCCAAAGCCTTTTAACAATCTTTGAGGCAAACCTTGTACAAATCCTCTTCCAGAAAGTACTATATCTATGGAAGCCTGTCAATTGCTTACAGTGGTCTAGTACTTTGGCAATGTTAAAAGCAAATTAAAATATAGCTTACTTGCATGAGAATGGGAAGCCTTTATTTCTGTTGCATCTCTTGGCACACTGTTCCGTGGTATTTAGCAGCTTAGTTTTTACTTTCAGTGTCTTATCTATTCTCATTAATAAGGTATCAGCTGTCTTTCGATAGTCATGAAGGGCATTTCTTTTTCCTTTGCCTTCTGCAGAAGAAACCATAACATAAATGCATGTATTAATCTTCTAAGTAAGAACTTGATTATGACATCATCACAGAATGGTAACATAAGAATGGTAACAATGCATATGTGCTATTTTCTTCTGGAGTGTTTTCAGTGGCAGCTAGGGCCATGCTGTGAATCCGCTAAATACTGCTACTAGTACAGTTTACTAGAGGAAATGTTTGAAAAAGATCAGTACTCTTTCAATACATAAATCTAGATTGCTAACTAAAACAATGGAATAAGGCACAGGTACTGGTTGGAAAACTAAAACACAATGCAACATATGTTTAGACTGGACAAAGTCCTACAACTCTTACCATAGTCCAGCATACATAGCTGGTAGACTTCTTTGTCTAAACACTAACAGGATTGCATCCTAAGTTTGAGAAATGGAAAACAACAGGGAAGAGGAGGGGTTGGCTCCTGCTCTTCAGCCACATGTTTATAAGCAGACTCTAAGGGTTAGATGCATCACTATATTGTGCTAGTGGAGATGCACTAGTGTGACAGGTCTTTTTTCCCACTCTCCCCCCTCCTGGCAGCTTCCCATGCTGCCCAAAAATCTGCTCTGGAAACTTTCTCGTCACATGCACACACACACACACACACACACACGTGTGTGGTGGAGGGACAGTTCTTCAGGACCATGGCACGAGGGGTTAATCCCTTCCTCTCCCACAAGAGTCCCAATAAAAATGACTCCCCTCCCATGACAGCTATAAATCCCTTGAAGAAAATTAGCAGCCACAGGGAGTTGTTGTTCCCAGGATCATGGTCAGTGTTATTGACAGTGTTATTATCTCCTCCTCACATGCTGTAGTCCTAACAAAAATCTCTCACCACCACCACTTTTGCAGATATTGTTATTTTAAAAATGCATCATCAAGTGACACCTGTAGCAGCATGTGTAGTTTGGTCCATAAGTGGCCCCCCTTTTGAAGAGCAAGGAATTAGCACCCTAGAATCCAGGTGAAATTAAAGCCACAGGGTGGATTGACATGACATGGCACACAAACCTCTGCAGTGCCCATGGCTCCCATTTCTTTTGCTTCAACTTACCTGCCAGACAGTAGTTTCCATGTAAACACAGTTTCCATGCTTCTCCCTCACAATTCATCCCAGCAACTGCAATGAACTAAATCCCTTTCTTTACTGTATGATTGCCTACTGACCTGAATGGGCCACTAAGGTTTTGAGTTGGTTTCTTCCTTTTGGTCTTCTTGGTTGATTCTCCAACTCTTTAATGCTTCCTAGCCAATCCAGTCTCCAAAGGGGATTTTCCCATTAAGATAAATACTTTTCCTGCAATTCCTCCCTTCTCTGTCTGTACATTTAATTGCTTTTCCCCTACTGAATAAAGTTCACAACATCTAGCCAATACGAACAAAGCAAGTGTTGATCCATGTTTTACTAGAAAGCTACGTGTAGTAAAGATCAGTGTCCCCTTCTGTTGCTTCTCTTTCCAGAGGACCCTGTGGTGTTTTTTCACCACAAATGGAAATATGGAGCTCCCAGATCTGGACATCAAAGGAAATCATGGTGGAAGGTAGAAACCATATGACCAGCTATAGTTTCTCTCTGTGCTTTCCAGAAACTAAATACACTTTACTGAAATTCTGGTGTCTGCACTGCAACTGAGGTTGGGCCACAAGGATAAAAACAGACCAACAAGGGTAAAAACCTCTATGGCTTCCTGTGATGTGTGAATCCAGCCAGTAAGAGTGCTGAACAGGAAAGAGGCACTGGGAGTCTAAGATGAAGTTCCAGTTATACAGTTTGCCACAGATTCTCTGTTCTTCCGGAACTTAAGATTCTGTAAGCAAATGCTTTTGGTTGAATCTTTTTCACCTTTCTTGGGAAAACTGAGAAAGAGCTCATAAAATACTTATACTACACAGGAAAAAAGAAAGAAACAATACACAAGGAAAAAGCAACATTTAACATACACAAACAAATTGAAAACCTAAACATACCGGGATTGGCATATTGGATAAACCTTTGGGCCTGCATGTGGAAAAAGTAAATTCCCACTCAATTGTAATGTGAAGCCTCCTGGGTGGCCAAGCACCTCCCCGCCACAGACGCGCACACACTCACTTCACAGAATTGTTATGAGGATAAAAATGCACTTGAAGGTGGGGTGTATGTATAACAAAGAGGTGCACCTAATAACTAGCAGGAATTACTAGAAGTGGGGTCTGTGGGGAAACCAGAACACAGCCTGAAGAGTTTATTGCTTCCATCCACTGATTTGCTTTATATGCTTTTGAGAATAAAGCTGATTCCATTTTAGCAAAGAAGCTACACAAGATGTTAATCGAGAAGCAACTTAAAGCATACAGTGCCAAAAAATGTCACGTTACTACAAGTGAAATATACTGTTGATTCTCCTTTTGCAATATTTCCTTCCTTCTTCTAAAGGCACTGCACCCGTTGTAAGCCAAAGGGGTGTCAGAAACAATCAGGTTACACCAGAAATTTCCTAGAAGGCTTTTTTTGCTTTAAATTAAGAAACTGCAGACTTGGTCATCTTATTGCCCCATTACATTTTTCAATGTCAGTGCCAAGTAAATTTGCTATGCAACATAAGATGAAAGGTGCTTCTCAGTCCAGGTCTTCAGTTTCACATCAGACCTTAGATATTATAACAGAAGTTCCAAAATACATTTTGCAAGCACTCCCCCTCTGCCCCATTCCTTGGTTCTATCCCATTCCTCTGTGTCCTTTTGTTCCATCCTGGTCTACCTTGCAGACACAGGTCGAATGAAATTAGTATCTCCACTATTAAATTTAGTTAGCTATCACTTATACCAAAACCATCTCCAGGTTCAAGAGAAAGTCAACAAACCCTTGGTTATCCTATGGCAGCAGTGATGGGTAGCTTGCAGTCACCATTTTAATTTTACACAGTGGCTCTGAAGTAGTATCCCTCTGTGTCAAACTGAAGTGGGTCCAAGTCTCTTAGTACAGAAAAGCCTAGGGTAAGCCGTTAACACAGCAATGGGCGCTGCCATGGTGATGAAGGCTCAGCAGGTACTCAGGAGTGTCACAGGCCAACAGCTACCTTGCACTATTTATACAACTTGTCCTAGGCTTTGGAGACTATAAGAAAGCCAAGTAGCTGCAAACCCACCTGTTTCTACCTTTCACTCACACACACACACACACACACACCCTTTCCATTGCTGACAGTTTATCAATACAGTTCAGGAAGCTATGAATAATATGAAAATAACCTTTCTTGAGAAGAACTATTTAAAAAACCCTTGTCTAAACGTCCAGGTGTCCATACAGCTCTCCCCACCAATTTTCACCTGTAACAGGACATACACACACACACACAATGATGGCTGCAATCGTACACAAAAGTATACACACCTGTCTGGGAATAATGCCCACTAACTCAGACGTTGAGTAGACAGGCATAGGCTTGGGCTCAAAACCACACTTTGACTTATTTGTAGTCAACATTCTTCTAATTTTTTACCTTGGGCATCAAAATAATGTTGGTATTAAATATTTGTAGGGGGATGTTTATGCTGCTGAAACAAATGCCAGAGGGAAAACAATTCTTTTTACAATTTTGCCTAGCACAGCACTTTGCTCTTCTTTCTACATCACTCCCTGTGGATACCTTTTCGAATTTGAAAAGCTGCTGTGGGTACCACCACAAAATGACCCCCATAGAGGTTGTGGCTACTCACATAATTGCTGTCATGGAAGCCAGGTTACTCCAAGGTACTCCAGGTTACCCATGAAACTTATAAGCACAGGAAGAGTCTGCACTCCAAAGCTAATCCACATATTTTACCCCACAGAAGCATTTAGATTACAATCCTATGCCCTTGGACTGCAAGATGATCAAACCAGTCAGTCCTAGAGGAGATCAACCCTGACTGCTCCTTAAAAGGCTAGATACTGAAGATGAAACTCAAATGCTTTGGCCACCTAATGAGAAAGAAGGACTCACTGGAGAAGACCATAATGCTGGGAACAATTGAGGGCAAAGAAGAAAGGGATGGCAGAGAATGAGGTGGCTAGATGGAGTCACTGAAGCAGTCGGCATGAGCTTAAGTGGACTCCAGGGGATGGTGGAGAACAGGAAGGCCTGGAGGAATGTTGTCCATGAGGTCGCAATGGGTCGGACACGACTTCGCGACCAACAACAACAACAGATATTATTTCAGAGTAGACCTATCTAGGATTGCACATCCCATCTACTCATTCACACCCACAGAGAACTTTCTCCAGCCCCAAAAGAAAAGAAAAAGTTTTCCCTACACAGTCTCTTCATTCCCCACTTGCTGTCCTATCTCCTCTCCCATCAGAGCACAAGAGAGGGGCTGAGAAGAAAGGGAACAAAAGGAATGCCAAGGGCCTTAAAGGATGGAATTGCATAGACATATACCTTCAGAGAGAGGTATTAACCAGCCAGCAGTGGTCAGTTCAAGAAACTTAAAGAGTTTAGCTTTTTTTTTACTTAAGAAAAGAATTTTACTTGGGGTTAAGAGCCTTTGTCAAGTGAGATATACTAATCAATTTTCTGCCAGTCCTCTTGTGAAGAATTAACCTATGGTTAATCATAAAATCAAATTATTTGTACTAAAATTAATAAATTAATTTGCAAAATAGATTCACAAAATATAGTCAAATACAACCCCAAGGTTAACAAAACAGACTCCAACTCAATGGATTTGTAATGGCAAGGGTCATGAATGAACAACTGAAAATGTCAGGAAGCGAGGGGTCAAAAGATGATTTTGTATGTTTAAATAAGGAATGAATGTTACCTAGTTATGAAACACATTTGGGAACTAAAAACATAGTGCATTAGGGAATTAAAACTGTCTCTGGATTTGGGGTGGGGATATAGTATGTAAACACGAGACTGCTGGTTATACTGTTGTATTCCTGCTGGTTAAGCAATGTTTCTCCCAACAGATCCTTGCTGTTGCATGCACCTTAGAAACAGACCAAGG